CTGCTCGGCGTTCGTATGCCTTTCCCGTCTGCTGTGGGTGCGTCCCCTGAGCCACCGCTCTGCCTGTCCCCACAGATCCGCTGGCACTTCACTGTGGCCCCCGTTTGGGACCTGCTCTCGCTCGTGTTTCCTCAGCTGCTGCCCACGCCTGTGCCAGGGGAGGGAAGGGCCCTGTCCCTGCGTGGTACTCACAGTCCTGTATGTTGTCTCTGTGCCATCGTGTCCTGCCACCGCCGCCACCTCCACGCGCCCTGCTTTGCCCTGTGGCCGGGGCTGGTGGCCCAGGCCACTGATGTGCAGTCCCAGCACTCTGTAAATAATTGTAACCACAGGAATGAGCTTATTCCAGGGGGAAAAAGCTGGAAATAAAGGTTGTGACTCACGTGTCCGCGTGTGTGAATGGATCATTGGGGGGGCAGAGGTTGGAAGTGGCCACGTGGCCCGTCCCTGCGTGGGTAGCCCAGGCTGCTGCTGGGTCTTCAGTGAGTAAATGCTCTTGCAGGCAAAGCCAGCATGGGCCGGGGCGCAGCATCCCAACGTCAGGTATTGACCACGGAGCCCAGTACAGGGGCACGCCCTGGTAGAAAGTGCCCAGTCTCCTACAGGGTGTAGGAAGAGGCGGCTGCAGACATCCAGAGCCAGAAATAACCCTGGAGAAGTGTGCGTCACGCTGGCTGGCTGGTAACCAGCCCCACGAGATGGCAGCTGCACTGGTAAAGGTATATGTTGGTTTGTTTAGTTATTTATTAAACCAATCTTTTTACGGAGTCACAGGATTTCAGCGAGGGCTGGATGGCTTTTATTTTTTTTCAAGTTTTTCTCATTGCTTGTGATTTCATACCAAACTACTTACATTTTACACTGGGCTCCCCAGTAAAAGACAGATGGGGACATACTGGAGTGTCCAGCAAAGGGCCACAAGGCAACAGCAGCTTCAATTAGGGGCAACTTTTGGGCCAGTGCTCTCTCACACGGACCAAGAACCACATTTCATCCTTCTAACTTCCACTGTTTCAGTGGCAAAGGAGACCATGCTTCAGCCAACGGGCTGTGTTCTGCTTCGAGGATAAAGCCACTCTCTTTTTACTCTGTTCTAATTTTCATTTCTCTCTCTGGAATTTTTACTCTCAGACAAGGGACATGATCTCTTAATTGGAATGTTATTTGGCTTGCCTTAAGTAGGTTTGATCAAATTCCACAGCTGCCTCTGAACTTTAAAACAGGGTCAAGCCAGTAGCAGATGAATCCAGGTACTTTTTCAACTTTTTTTTTTTAAATTAAAAAAAAAAAAAAAAGCACTACAATCCTTGGTGTGGTGTCTCTAGTTTAAAAGAAGTGTAAGGGTCAAGCATGGCATTTTGATGACCACAGAGATTCAGGCTAAGGTGCGGAAAAAGAAAAATCAAGTTACATTAAAGGAGGGTCGTCAATAAGCTATTTCATTCCTGAGTAACTCAGATAGTTACCAAACTTCTTCCCAGGAAGTTTAAACCCTAAAAGACTTGTAAGGGCCGTATCTCATTAGTGCCAACCTTGACAGAGGGTATCAGAGGAAACGCGAGGTTGACGAAGCCTTAGAAAGGCTGGTTTGAAGGGACACCAAGTTCTCAATTTCTGCGTTCCTCAATGTCCTGCTGTGTGCCAGGAGGCACAGGGCAGGATGACGGTATGTGATCGGGCTGACCACTCCCAACAACTCAAAACACCTCTCAGCCTTTCTAGCTTACCTGACGTTTTGGTAATGGAGCACATGCCCTACAGCGCAAGTCATTTGTCCAACACGACTCTGGTCTAGTCTTAGCGATGTAAGTGCACACTGTGAGATGCAGCAATGATGGTGACAGAAGCGAATCTGCTGTCTAGGCGGGCACGGGAAGCACCGTATCTAGGTACCAGGGGTTTATATCCTGGGAATAGGCACTAAATTCATAGATGTAATGGTTCACGTACCGACCTGCCATTATATACGATCACGGTTACACAGCCTCTTACTACCAAACAGTGAATGTCTGCGCTGACGCTCCTGTCTCTCTGTACGCGCGCTGCCATCATCGTCATCCCTCCTGCCCAGGTCTGACCAGGAGAACCATCAGCATCAAATTATATCCTCGCGAAACACCATCACCCATCAGGCAATTGGATATTCGAAAGAGACGGGGCAACGACCCCCGTAAAAGAGGCTGTAAAAGATCAGAACACGACAAAGAGGCAAGAAAAGAAAATCAAAGACATGTCAAAGAAAACCCCACAAGTCATCGATAGGAAAAGATTTTCCATTTAATACTAGACTCTCTCAGGATTGAGATGCAGGCTTTTTATGCAATTACATCCAATGTTAAAATTGGTAATACATAATTTACAAAGATTAACATCAAAACAATGATCTATTTAGATATGCTTTGTAAAAAGGAAATATATTAGCAGCATTTATTTTCAGCAATCACACAGCCTACACCCATGCAGACTAAGAGTTCATATCTATTTGCAATAATGTAGTGCTTCCTGGTCTTAAAACAGCGATCCTGGTGACACACTGGTCTTCTCGTTATTATAAAATAACCGAAAAATAAAAAAAGTCATTAATTTCTACACCAGTAAGAAAAACAATTCTTTGCACTTACCTAACATTTGATTGTCTAAAAAACATTTTGTTTAGTCTTTCAACAAAAGAAAGATAAAATGACAGAGCTAGTGTCTCGCTTCTGTACGCACTTTATTTTTTAAAAACTTTTTAGTGTTTAACACCATTTGAGACAATGATTTGTTTTAAACTAAATGAGACAACTCAAGATTTTGGACATGCGATATTCCTACTACACGCACGAGTATTTTATACTCAGGGTTCCTGGTACTGTACAGTGCTTCTCTACAGTAAGAAAATATTCCAAACTATTTTCTTATTTCTTTTTTTTTTTTAATAAAATATTTTTTCTCAAAGGGTTTTTTCCTTTCTTTTTTTTTCTTTTTAAATCAACACATAAAAGTTAATGGAATGAGTCATGTTCCACTAAGAGTAAAATAATTATAATAATAACAAGAATGTACATTAGGACAAGCTTGGTCCATTAAAAAGGAACATGTAACTACTGTATTGCTTTACATCCACGCAGCAGATATATACAACTTGGCACATTAAAAACTGGTTTTCTTATAAGAACATCTAAAACAGGACTGTATATGCATATGTACGTCTGAAAGACAAAAAAGCAAAGCCATTTTAAAGGGGCAGCGTATGGCAGCCACCCCCTCCCTTTGCCACAGCCTGGCCCTGGCCCAGAGACAGGCGACAGCTTCGTGGCTCCGCGCGCCGGGAAGGTCGTCGGGTGCCGTACAGGGAGTCCTGCTGCAGCACTGGTCTGTGGTACATTATGGCGATCGCAATTTCATGCAGCGAGGAATCAGTGCCTCGGCTGTTGCTTTCGGGAATAATACTTTTCGTCAGGGCAGAGAGAGAGGGCGGTGCGAGATACACTGTCTCTTAATTTAAGAGACGGACATTTTAAGCTGTACAACCAGAACACAAGAATAGTGTTAGCAGTTGATATATTCTACAGTTCACAACAAATACTCGCTCTGAATACTGCTTGACGGTTCATGTAGTGAAGGTTTCCTTTTTTTTTTTTCCTTTTTCTTTTCTTTTAACAGATTTTAATTTGCACAACACACTAGACACACAAGAACCACAGCTTATCAAAAAAACCAACAGCAATGGTGTTGTCAGGATTTGACTTGCTTTATAAAATTTCTCTGCAGAAAAAAGTGAAAAAAATCACACCCCGCCCCCTCCCCCCTCTACGACGCAGAACAAGTGCCTCAACCAGCCAACTCCTGCTTTGCAGACTTGGGAAGTCTCTCCTTGTCACAGACCAAAGGTACATGTGTGCACCGGCTGTTCCACGGTGAACCTTTCGCACGTTTGGGTACGTTTCTCTCTTCTTGGAACTTGTGCAAATCAGAGGCCACAACTTTAGGGCAGCCTTTAATTTTAAGCCACTGGGCCTTCACCCTCCCATCTGGATTTCATTCACTGGCGTGGGCCATGGTGGTGCCAACAGTATCTTGTACAATCACAGGTTAATTGGTGAACATGGGGAATATTCTCATCAGAGTAAGTCAGTCCTTATCCTTC